CTGTTTCTCGTTTAATGACCATTTGGCTATTTAGCGGATAGGCTGATATCCGTTGACTCTCCATATCTCCCCTGAACAACAGCATTATTTTGCACTTCTATAATCGTAGTTCATTTCGTTGACCATCGCTTCTTTTTATCGTCCACTGTTCCTTTCCTTCAGTCCACAGCGTCCTTAATCTATACATGCATTTCCTAGTTATGTATAATCTCGAATGTGTGTGATCCGTCTAGTCTGTCATTTCAGGTTTGTTGTCGCGCTGAGCTTAATCGGTTGCAATTGCCACGACTGGCCTTTATATAAACAACAGCAGCGGCAGCAACAGCAAGAGAAAAGGATGGCAGGAAAATCCCTTGTGGATTGTCAGTTTGCATGGTAAGTATATATTATTGGTTAGGATGGTAACCACTGAACGGAACGGGTGCTTTTCTCGCAATAGCGTGCATTCGCCGCTACAGCGGTCATTGCTGCCACTCTGTCGGATCTTAGGATCTGCAGAACAAGAAACGAGCACAAGGCAGGCAGGTGATTTATGAGTCGTGTGGTTGACTGGCATGGGCCCGTCTTTACCCCGCTCGGCTATCCATGTTCCCGGCAGGTTTGTATTAACCCCCTAGCGTAGCCTGATTTTTCCAATATCTTCCAATTCTCCAATGTCTTCTGCTACGACGGCTACTGCTATCAATGCCATCCGTCGGCCACATCCTGCCTTACGAGACCAAGTACCAGGAGCCGCGCGCTTTCGATTGTACCCTATTCCGCTTCCGCTATGTCCCTGCCGGCAGAGGGGTTATAATGGGAGAAAGAGGAAAGGTTCGAGAGCCAAAGCACCGGAGCCCCTAAGAAAGCACAAGGCAACTCGCTGCGTCAAAGAGGACGACGAAGAGGCTAAGGAACACAACCGTGATGACGATGGTAACATGACAGACGTGCAAGATTCAGTATTATCTGTCCTGCCCGAAGCACCGGATAGTGAGGGAAAGAGAATGCCTTCGAACGAATAATGCTTCCTAGCCTTGAATCCTTTCTAACTAGGACGACAAGGTTGCACCGAGCTCGGGACATTCAACAAGGTTGCACATCTATTCGTCGCGGAGAGATACTGTTATTGTGCAGGCGTATAAGGTAATTCGTCTAAGGTAATGGGTGCTGATATATATATATATATAGTTGTTTAGTAGTGTGTCAGAGGTTAAGAGCAGTAGATTTGCGGATATTCTAAGGTTGTTACAAAAGATCGGAATCGGTGTTGCTTCGCCGTGATGATACGTATGATGCTGTACCAATTCTGAGGGATAAGCAAACAACTGGGTGTTGTTATGGTCTGCATTGTCGACAAGAACCGCATGTTTCTCTTTTAGCTCACACGGCTTCAACGGTCATTTACTTCTCAGCAAAGAATTGTACATACTAAATATATGGGCAATAAGTAATATTATCTAGCTGATATTGCGGCCGTCGATACTGTTTACTAAACACAAATATTCTTATTAAACATATGGCAGCAATACGACTAATACCGTGGCGATTAACGATTTGTTTGTTTGTTAATGTTTATGTTTTAAGTTCGCTTCGTAATAAGATGTTGATATTGTGTGTTTCTCGGTGCGTCAAGCAGAGCTTGCTGAGGCGTCTTTTCATCCAACCCGGCTAAGCGTCGTCCTCCAAAAGGACGACCGACAAAGCATCGAGGTCACACATCTTGAAACGTGCCATGTGCTGCGCGCTGCATTAATTGGCATTAGGAATCTCGTTTCACACTCTCCGCTGCTTTCACATTCATGAACACTCGGTCTGCCATGGCAGGCCCTCGCACTCATATGCTTAGCGCCTCAGCTGGACGAATTTCGCAAGCGTATAAGCGTTTCTCTGTTTCGTGTTAACAGCACAGCACATCACGGTGTACCCTGTAACTCAGCATCGTTAGTGCTAGTGAACTCAGCCAACAGGGCTGATAACATCAGCACGACCTTAGCGTGCTCAAACACCCCCTTCTAATGGCCTGCCCAGTGTCTGCCATATGCCTCTCTCTCCCCCATGTTTTCTTTTTCTGTGCTGCTCCTACTCGTCGCCAATGTCTGACCCGTGCAATGATCATGCACCACACCACCGACAACAATAATGGCAACAATAACACCGGCATCGCAGCACTACCTCAGCTGCCTCAGCCGCTGCCACGTCTCAGAGTAAATATTTAGATTAAAAGTTTGCCCACTGCAAAGTGAGACCGCTTTGCTTGTGAGATCAACACGCCGGTTCCTTTCGTAAGCGACGACCTCACGATGAGCCCCTCAAGGAAGATCCCCTCTCTCACCCCGCGGCCTACCTCACGCGGCTCCCTACCTTACCTCAGTCACTTCCTACCTCACTCCGTTTTCTACCGCACCCCCGAGCGTTTCTGAAGCAACGGCCTATTGCGTTTCTCCCTAAACTACTAAATTTAGGAACGACGATGCCGCCGAAGGTTAAGTAGACAATAACTACAACGCGAGTTTCAGTCAGCTGAAGTTTCAATGCGCCTTCAAACCCCAGTAGCAACAATAATAAGAGCAAGACGTCAGAGTGATAACAATATCTATGGCTAAAAAAGCTTAGCAGAAACTAGGTAGATGAAACTGTAAAACATGTAGTACGAGTTGACCTGAATTTGTGGAGTTGTAGATGGAGAACGAATACTATAAAGATACAAAACGTGTTTGTCCATTGCGTGTCGGACGCGACTGTGTACGAGCAAGACGATATATTGGAGTGAACAGCAAGACATGTATATGTCAGGAAAGAAACTTCTAGTAAGGAGGGTGCCACGGTGGCAACTACTCACTAAGCTGTTTTTGGGTTGAAAATAATTGAATTTTACTCACGAAATACATCTTTGGAAAAATAACACAAAGCAGCTAATAACAAGTATAAATGTAGTCCGCGTTGAATAAGTGTGAAGTTATACGCTTTTTAAATTTAAGCGACTGGTTTAGCTAGCCTATAATACAGTATGCTTTAGAAAATGCAATCGAAAAGTAAAAAAAAAATCCTACAGGTCCGAGCGTTTTTATGAATGAAGTTTTTTTTTGAGGCCGATATATGGTGAAAAGAACCGAGGTCGACCTGATTAGACGATGAACGACCCTCGGAAACAACCTATGAGGGAAAATGCCGTATCGTAACAAGACCGATAGTCTATTCAATTATTCCTACAATATACTGTGGCAGGGAGCGGGGTTTCCACAGGCAAGCAACTCATTCAGGTGTGTTTAATGCATGACTGTTCATTCGACGAGAAATCTACCTCGTGCTTGTTTCTCTCACTGATATAGTTTAACTGAATAACACGTTATTAGTATTTAATACTAGAGATATATATTTGTACGAGCTTTTTTCAGCGGAGTCCTTGCTTGGGAGGCAGTGTTTAACTGCTTCTCGTTCATATTGAAATATGTATATTGAAAAATGCTTTGTCTGATTAATAGCTTCATTTTGAAAAGCTAAATGCAACGACCGTCGCATATCAAGGGAATGCTCAAAAACCTGTGTGTACCGGGAGTAAAGATTTCTCTCGGGAAGGTAGGACCCCGCGTGAGTTTCTAAACAATTGAATCACTCTTGCGCCAAGCGATTCACTATATAGTCGCCTGATAGTAGAATCGTTCTTATTTTCTCAATACAATGCCATAATAAGGTCCCCAGAGATGAGGATTCAACATATTACTTCAACAACTACTTCGGATTTTATTCGTACCTACAAATAAGGTCTGAGCTAATCCACTGTGATCGCTTCAACGTCATATTATTAAACGTCATTTGAAAGATGGCTGAACTAAATGGAGAAAATAAGAAAGATTCTATTATCAGGCGATTATATAGTGAATCGCTTGGCGCAAGAGTGATTTAATTGTTTAGAAACTCACGCGGGCTCCTACCTTCCCGAGAGAAATCTTTACTCCCGGTACACACAGGTTTTTGAGCATTCCCTTGATATGCGACGGTCGTTGCATTTAGCTTTTCAAAATGAAGCTATTAATCAGACAAAGCATTTTTCAATATACATATTTCAATATGAACGAGAAGCAGCTAAACACTGCCTCCCAAGCAAGGACTCCGCTGAAAAAAGCTCGTACAAATATATATCTCAAAGTATTAAATACTAATAACGTGTTATTTTTTGATTTCGCGGATTTCTTGCTGATAATCATATGTGGTTCTACTTAGATTTATAATCGCTACAGATAAAAGAGACCAAATCGTTGCGATTCTCGACCCATTAAAAGGGCCCATGTAAAACAAAGGTATAATAAAATACTTTTTACATGGGCTCTCTTAATGGGCCGAGAAGCGCAACGATTTAGTCTGTTTTATCTTGGACATGGAACTCTGACACAATGGAACTCTGACACAATAAAGCGTCAGAGTTCATGTCCAAGATTTGACCCTGTTCGACACGAAGGACACTAATAGGCTCGCTAGAAAAGTTGATTTTATAGTAATTGAAATTTAGGTGTAGATGGAGCTCAGAAAATTACCACTTCTATGTCAATACATAACCTTCAACAAGTTCCTCATGTTCTAAGTCGTGCGTTCTTGCGAATTCCAAATAATATAAGCTCAAAGGATAAATTCAAATTAATGGAACGTCCACAATCTGAATGGAACTCATGCAATTTTAGCAACCTCCGGTGATTTGAGGGCCAGACTACTTCCGAGATTGTTCTGGCGGGTAAGTTTGTGTTGTAATCGATTTTCCGAGTAAACTCTAACCCTATGAGTTTCTGTCGTCATCGATCTGAGAAGTGGCTGAAACTGGTTCCTATCGGGTGCTATCGAGACACAGCTTCGTGCGGATATCATATCGTTCGTTCCGCTTCGCTACGATATCTAAATTTCTAATCTATCTATAAATAAAGTGAGTAATCATAACAAAAACGTCGCGATAATGGAAGCCTCAATTATATACGCACTAGTTTCTTCGATGATATAGAACTACATAGAATACACTTGTTTGCTGACAGTCTGTCAACGAGTTGCTCCACTCTATTTTTTTTTTTAGCGCTAAGTTCCGGTAGACGCTCTTGCGGTAGACTTCAAACCTGACATGTTACGCTCGACATAAAACTTGTTCTGCATCGCGAGGTTTTGTGGATTCTTACAATTTTTAATTCTGTTCAATTTCTCTTCGCTGAGGTTAGCTGGGTCACGATGTGGTGAGGATCCTGACGAGCCTGAAGCATTCGAAGCAATGAATAGTTTTATGTTAGGTGGCAAGTGATCCATATAACAAAAAAGAAGAATCGGGGCATGTTACGTGACAAAACAACGTTGGTGCTTGTCATGCGGATGTATATATCAAACACGAATAAAAGTTTAATTGAAATCGCTTAGTTAAAATGTTTGAATGCCAAACATAGTACACACTCGTTGGCTCAGTGTACAGCAGTCAGCTGTTACACGACGGAGTGTTGCCGACTATTCAACTTGGCTAGTCATTATTTGACAGTTATGTCGTTCAGAACACTGAATTGGGCTTTCCTTTGTATAGAGATAGTAAGGGTGGCCTTTTACAAGTGTAAATATTTTTGACGCACACCATCACTGTTCGGCAATAGCCTCTAGGTGGACTCAGCACGAAAAAAGAGCGCAGTACTCGTTGAAAACACGCTAGATTTAGCCTACTTTTTCTGAAGCAAAACACCACACGATTCCGGCAAGAGAACATGGCGACATCCATGAGTACGACCGGTTGCAACCAGATCGAGCAGAATTTATCTAGTGAAAGATGTTATGTTAGCCTTAAAAGTGCTTTAGTAATTAGAAAAAAAAAGTGAATCAGTTTTAAAAAAAGTGAAAAAAGTTAATCAAATGGTCCCTCAAACAACTGACTAAGCAAGTATGATATGCCTATTAACAGATATAACATCGGAGGACTTAGGATGTCGGACACGTTGCACGTGCGCTGTTTATCGTTCGCTAGTGCACGGCCTTACTCAGGCTCTACATCGATGGCAAACAGTTACCAAGCGGAAGACGCTACCACATGGCTGTTACTGCAGGTCCATTGTGCTGAATCAACGCGAGTTTAGCGTATCATGGCTTTTTTTTTCCCTGCCGCTGAAGGATAAGCGCTGTAAGGAACAAATTAGCTTATTAATCACCTTTACATCAATCAGTGCATGTACAGCTAACATTGTTAACAACTTATCGTGCATAACTTACACGTACAACAATAACAAAAACACGGAAAGATTTCAAGTTCATTATACTGAATATCAGCTAATTGTTGTAGTTATACTTACGGAATACGGAATGCGAAAGATTCTAACATAAACCTCTCGCGTGTGCGAAACAACACCCAGTTATCTGCCTATTAAGTTAAAATAGTTTAGATCTAATGAATGGTACGAATAACGGCCGCGTTCCCTTTCGCTTGTGTACATTCTCTCTCCCCTCATTCGGTAAGAGATTTTATCTTGGGTTTAGGGTCCAGAAGGACGATTTCCGGTAAAAACAGTGCCTTTTTGACATCTAATTTATTTCGGTTTTCGCCGATGTCAAAAAGCTGTCTATAAATTTCCCGGAACATATTTGTTCCGTGTACAGCAAGCACTATGACAGAATTTTTCGAGCCCATCTCGGTCGGCCAATCGAGATCAAAGGGGGATTTTAAATAGAAAACAGCTTGTCAATTCAGGATATGTTACATCATGATTATACAATATTATTAGAAAAGAAGAACCCAGCTGCGCCACAGACTGGGTTAAGCGTATACAAACAAACAAACAAACGGCCCTTCATAGATTCTCAGCATCCTTTTTTGTACAAGTCGTTAAAATGCAGCCATAATAACAGGATTCTAAGAAGAATCTAGTCATCGCTGTCAATATAAGATCGACGCAGAAACGGGTAGCTCATCGAAATAAACGTAAATCTACAGTTAGGCCAGACCCCTATCTGAAAGAGTTGATTTGCCTTTGGTGAAATTAAAAAGATCTCATACGCAGCAGAACAAAACGTTCAAAGGTCTAGCTGCATCGTCTGAATAAGACTACTCAACAGAAAAGACCCGCTAGACGAAGCAGAGTCATAAACGTATACTGCGAATGATAATACCAGGCTTATATTATACCAGGTTAATATTATATGGCCGCCTTACAATTCGAAAATCTTGAATTCACCGTATTCTCCAACTTTCGGGCCTACGGATTACTATTTCTCTCGATCATTTGCAAACGAAATTAGCTGTCACCATATATTTGACAGTGGAGGTGATCTTTTAAACTAAAGTTCGTGAATCCCAATTCCTAGTAAAAAGGAATAATGGATAAGAAGATGAATGCGAAAATTATATATATATATATATATTATATATATATATCAACAACCAAGTATACTAGGAAGTATTTACATGATAATATTCACGTTGCCTAATACTCTTCTCTATGCTCGCCTGATATTTTGAACGATATGAACTAACACGGTAGTGTCAGACGATACTGAAACGTAAAGATACTGGGAGCCAACAAAAGTAACTATTAACGGATAAGAAACGGAAGTATCATCAACCATCAACATATGTACCCCACAACGCTACTGTTAAAAACGCTGTCACTACAATGTTGTTGAACTCGAAATGAGCTTGGGGGGAGTTCATTCCGTGCACGATAGAAGTTACGATTAGATGTTCCGGATAGATTCCTATGGCAACTTACTGCGTCCATGGCACCTGACGAAAATCTCAACTCGTGACGCTTAAATAAAGTAACAGAAATAAAAAAAAAGCTATTAGCTTTATGCGATACGGCGAGGAGCGCACATGCGAGCGTTCACATGTACGTCAATAAAAGACTTAATAACAAGAGAATTGGTCTTCATATATCAGGAAAAATTAGTTTGTAATTATGAATCGAGTTCGACCGTACACGTTGATCTCGCAGAGAAACCTGCCCAGACCAGCATGTGCCTTCGGCCGATCGTCAATACTTCACTACTCGACTAACTAATGCGTCGTGCTTCGGTGACGACGAAAAAGAGGAAAAAACATCAAGCGACATAGCTAGAAATCAGCTTCGGCGGCTACTATATAATAGGATTCAGCTGTGCTTTCGGATAGCTACTGCCCCTGGTGTACGATGATCAGATGGAGGACGTGACTTGGAAATGACTTAACGATACAAGTGGTCTGTTTACAGTATCTACGAATGGGTTCTAACGAATATGCTTATAAATGAATTCGTTGGACCCCCTATGCGACGGAAAACAATATGATCGATTCATTGTATGTGCTCTTTCCAAAAAAAGACAGTCTATATATATATATATATATATATATATATATATATATATATATATATATATCAAGTGATATTTTACATTGTAGCCATTCTCGTTTTTTGACTGTCTTTTTTTTGGAAAAAGCACATACAATGAATCGATCATATTGTTTTCCGTCGCATAGGGGGTCCAACGAATTCATTTATAAGCATATATATATATATATATATATATATATATAGATATATATATATATAGAGCAAAATTAGAAGGTCGGGACTTATTATTAATCGGGACAATTTCGGGACTTATCAGAAAACTCTTTGTAGCGGAACATACCTGATCACGCTATCAGAAGCAAAGTGTGATTACCTCCATCATTATATATATATATATATATTCCTCACTGTGTCAAGTGCTGGCCCTTCATCTGGACGTATGCTATTGGGCATATTTGATTTGGATCATCTAAGCACCCTGATCAGAAATTTCGGCGCCCTAATTTGTACTACCTTGTATCACGCTTTTACTAGAGAAAAAAAAGTATGGAGCTGTCAATAGCATTTATTGAAAGCGGTCTGTTGTTCCCTTTTAAGTGTACCAATCGTACTCAGTAGGAAATTTACGCATATTGGTCCTAAATATTATTGGCTCCATTCGGGTCTGATTTAGACGATGACTATGTTTCGTTATACTACTTTTGGGTCTTGGACTCCACTGAATCGATCCCTGTCGACTGTCCCAAGTTGTCTGAAAGCCGCTGGGTCAATGGTTGGATGTCCTTCAACACACTTGACCTATGGGTCGCGTGGCAATATCACAAGCTGAGAGGCCATTTAGTTTGATCAAAAGCGTGCCTATACGTTAGTTTCAGTGATCATTTCAGTGATTGAATGTATGACTGTCAAAACAAACGAACTTACCTCCAGAAGATAATTAGTATGGCGAGGGCTACCATCACGATGACGAGGACGACTGCAAGCGTTGTATCGTGGCTTTTCTTGCGTTTATGTGTCTTGACCTTTTTTGGTGAATTTTCTGCATACGAAAACATTGTTAATAATTTTGCATTTGTTATAGATTTACGCATCGACTAACGCTTGATAACCAAGACTTCCTAGGTGTCAATACGACGGTGACAAACAATACAATTATTCATAAATCTTCGCAAATTTTTGAGCGCCTCAATAGCTACTACGCGTTACGGAAATGCCATTCAAGGTTGAATTCCGGCATCAAAATTCCGGCAAGTCCTCAACGCTGATACGTTGATGACTGACGTATTGCCAATCAGCCAGCCTTACTCCGCTTTTTAGCGTCTCCGCAGTAGAAATCTGTCAGTTTGCAAAGCCTTAAAAGTAGGATCATTTTGCTTTCTCATCGTTGCCGCCAACCGGGTGCCGTGAAAGTTTTGCAAGAGCAGACGTCGGAGTTCCTCGTGTAAGTTCCTTGTGCAAGTAAAATCCCTTGTATGAGAAAGAGCGCATTTGAAAACGTAACTGTAAATATCCACGCTAGCATTGTGAATACAGCCGTTCAACACTTTTCAATTTTATCCTTTTTTTTTTTTTTTTTTTTTGTAGTCCACCAGGGAAGCGCATATTGTAGCTCTCCTCAGTGCACAATCTCGTTCGTTGTTTTTACTGCTAGGCCTACTAATATTTACACGATTGCCAACATTTAACACATACGCTTTTTTCGTACAATTCCTTTCGAAAATACTTTGTTATTGGCCATCTACACCGAAAATAGAACCACACAGACCATAGGCCCCGGTCGGATTTTTGCACCTATTTCTACAGAGCATTTTTGTGAATCTATTTGAAATAAACGTATGTGGACACTATAATGAACACAGAAGAAACTCAAGAAATGCAAAAGTGTATCAGTGTCAATAAGCATAAACTGGTCTCTGTTACGCCAAAGTTTACTTGGATATATTGCACAATGTGATGCCAGCACAAATGAACACAGGAGTGTAATATCAATGGCAAGTTGTCAACAACGGAGGCGATGGGCTTCGAATTAGAAAATCAGAGTACGTTCTAGATAAGATAGTTCGCCTCTACCCCTACCCTCTATTGTTACTAAAGCTTCACTTCCGTTCCTATCTCCATACGTTCTTATTAAGGTTAACAAATCTCAAGGCTACATATGGTGTGTTATCGCCTACATGCACCATTCCTTTCCACCATGTCTTCGATTTTATTAACAATGATCCCATACCTCGGCGCTCGCCACTAACAGGGTTCTTTGCACATCGTCGTTATCTTTCTGAATAACTCGCAGTTAGCATAGACTTACTTTGTTTCGATACCCTGGCCATCGACGAACTTCCGCTCTTCGACGCGCGACTCATCCGACTATGCCGGGTCGTCCGACTTTTTCGCGCCATACTTTTGCGACGCTGTGTCTGACGTTTTCTCCGATGCTGTGTCTGATTCTGTGTGCGACGGTGTATCTGACGCTGTGTTAAAGCCTGAGCCGCACGCAGAGTCCGATGGTTTATCGCACTTTGTCGAATCGTCTTACGTACATTCGTCTTTGTTTTGTTTTTCTTAGTTTTTTTAGTCTTCTTTGGTTTTCTTCGTTTGGAATTTTTTCGCGGCATCGCTCTTCACAAGGCGATCTTCATTGCCTAGCGGGTATAACACGACGAGTAATTTCGGTCCTAGTCACACGCACAATACGAGTAGAATCTTGAACTTTCCTGCGACTCGGCGGAATCAATATCCTGCGACGATCTTAAAAAAACGAAAACTTGAAATGACGAGACTATTAACGAGGCACTATAACCCATACCCGCGCTAACAGTCTAAGCTCAGTATCCCTTGCTGAAAAGGCTGTCGCGATGCTCTATAGGTGCCCTGCAGGCAGTCCCAGCTGTTTTTGTGGATGTAACGTTTAGTGACTATATGTGATATGAGTTGCGAAACACGCAGCTATTTCACCTGGACCTTTGCACCGCCTGCATATGGATGTCTCATTTTTGATGGAACTATAATGCACCAATGGTACAGCTCCAAGTGCCTAGGACGTTGTCTCTCGATTGTCCAGTCACAGGTCAGGTTGCCCATTAATGCTTATTTACTTGCTAGTTATTTAGCAGGTAGTTGGTGAATTATCAATGCCAGTATCAGTGCTGTAAACCCATTCGATATGCTAGGGAAGTACGGTATATATCGAGCGTGCTACATATGTGCTGATGAGTGCAACATGTCTCCGCCCTACGTTACAAATTTGAATCTGCATTTGTAGTTGACAGCGCGCACACTAGAAAGACGGCAAATCTTAACACTCCAGATCCTTCAACTCGAACCCATGCGACCTAACTTTAAATAAGTTAGGGTTGATTTCTAACTGGGCCAATATCAATCCAGTCGGAATCATCCGGCACGATAGTAACACGCCGGCTTTGACATCGTGGTACGACACATTATACTCCAAAGCTGGATCGACCGACCGTCATTTAGTTCAGTGTTTATACTGAAAAGTCTGTAACCCGAAAATCGTGTTTAACTTTTTCAAGTTGAGCACCGCTCATGCACAATAACAAATGGGAAAGCATTCCCACGCTGTCAGGTACATGTCATTTGACTACATCAATACTAAATGTCACATGTTACAAGCAACGAGGCGGCGCAAGCGATAGCAGCGGAGATTTGGAATGAAGGTGGCACAGCAGGGCACGAACGCACCTACGAGTTTTTATACTATTAGTATGTTGTCTCAAATTTTACTAACAAAAAAACGAAAGAAAGAGAATTTCTGTCGTTTGCCTAATTTTGTCGGTTTGTTTTATAGAATACTTCAGATCGGCCAAGAGTATTTGTACATTTTAAGAATGCAGGTCACGGTTCACACATTAAAATATCAAACGGCAACGAAGGTGAAGAGTTCAACATAGCTTTCAATTCTTTCGGCAAAAAAGTTTATAAGCCGTATACAATTGTCTTACTTGGAAATGTTTAGAAGCTAGAAAATGCCTACAAAAACCCGTACAACATATTTCTGTGGATGTTTGTTAAGTTTTGAAGTGATAATAATCACTTCAAAACTTAACAAATATAATTTTGAATAAAACATGGCTATCGACGTGTCGAAGTAGTGTGGCTTATGTTGCATGCGTATTTTTCGCTACGATTTTCAAAAGCTTGGTTTTGATTTTGAAATGGGACGATCAGTTCAGGCCTTTCAAATGCTTACGAATCTTAATTAAGTAAAAATTTCGGTTACAAATTTTCCTAGTAACTTTTTCAGTTTCACCTTCTCTAATTTCGTGATTTCCTATTCAATTATAAACCGCTGCGTTCTATCGCTCGGTTCCAAAGGGAAAATGTTTCGGGAACTCGAGGAATCCTTTGAGAGGTAAAGTATGAGGGATTACTCACATAGGTCAGAGACTATACTACAAAATTAAGAGTCAGTTTTGTTTTTTAACACCATTCATAAGAAGCGTCGCGAAACTGTCGACCCCTAATAAGATCTTTGAGGTAAAACCTTATGTAAAGGTTGTACGTATTTATGGTGATCAAGTTTATATTTAGACACACCTTAATGCCCAGAAGGCTATAACCATAATGGTTATGAAATATAACAGAAATCCTTGACCATCGAAAATCCTGGGAAAGATGATTTGCTGTTTACACCTACAGCAAATCCAGTTTGTGAAATGCGGTACTATTAACGCGTTACGCAAGCTTCTATTTCAGGAGGCGCACTCGCTTTATGAGGAAATTATACACTGGCATCATTCGACTGATGGCAGAACATCTAGATTTCGTTAATAACCGGAAACAATGAAGCGTAATATAATCGTAAGTTTTGCTGACAGGTTGGTTGAGCTGTTTCCTGCAATTATTTTACATGGAATTTATTACGTCAAAGAACAGCGAAAAGATATAGTAAATCCAAGAAGATCACGGATCTTCAATTATCCGTAACCAACCGACCAAGCACTTACTCTACAATTTTACCGTATCCAACACATGTCGAAGCAACTCCTCGTAATGAGCAACTACACCTTTATACGCTTCCTGCTGTTTCGATACAACCTCAAGCATGTTGCTTTCTCGCTCGTCTCTTTCGTTTGTTCCAAAGCAACAGAATGTTGCAGTTCAGCTTCACCACCCCCTTCTACAACTGGCATTTCAAGGCTATCGTATCGCTGTCGCATTGCTTAGACGACCTTTTTTGGCCTGTTCTTCTTCAGTTTTGCTTCAAGTCCATATTTCACTGAAACCCATTCTAAGTGGACGGCAGAGCCCATGGTTACATATAGTCGCTCGTTACCAGCGGCAGGCAAAAAGAGACGGAGTAAAGAACAAGTTTTGAGAGCAGAATGGAAAAGGGTAGGGAAGAGACTCGGCTGAAAACGAATCTACGCCACCAGAAAGATGCGAGGTCGTTGGCTGCTTGACGAGCAAGTGGCAAACGGTATTTTGTGATGAGGTTCGTACACTATGTTTACGTATTTGAGCGGGTCCGTAGGACCGAATTTGCTGTTAGTACTAAGTCAGTGTGTAATGCTCTGGGGGCACAGTAAGTGCTGCTGTGTAGTCAGTGCAATGTAATTCGGCGCTACAGCCGCCGAGAATAAACGGAGGACAAATCTCTCCGCTATTTCCCGGCGCCTTGACATCGTCATCGCCAGCCGAAATAGACGGAAGCTGGTCAGCTTTTTCCGGAAGTGCCCCATTAGGGTGGAACGTTTGGAGCAGCACCAGCAGCCGAGAACCACGCCAAGTAAAGGCGGGCAGCAGCTGTTGCGCTGGTACAATTGACGGTAGTACAGATGGTAGAAGCTGCTCGCAGCGGCTAAAGCGAAGCCTAGTAGTAGTTGCGACTAGGAGCCATCATAGACCTTTGCTTGATGCTTTTGCTACATTTACGCGTCTTAGTTGGCGGTCGGGACTTTGTTTTCACCGGGCTGTTGTCCGTAATGCATGTGTGTTCATTTGCCTCTCAGTTGGACCTGCTCCCGGCACGTCTCTGCTAGCGTGCCGTCACTCAAAGCAGCAGTAATCGTAGAGATAGCGGAAGAAATAGCTGTTCGTATTTGCATTCTTCGTTGCCGTTCGTGTTCGTTGGTAGAATGAGTGGACGAATTGCATGTTAAAACTGGGCGCAAAACTCTTGCGTCCAACGCCCGGCGTCTTGCTACGTCATCTGCTCTCAATCTGGTCGGCGATAACGCCGCAAAATGTCCGCCGGCAATCAGGACAACGAACGAGCGTCCACTACCACAACCTCTTGCAGCTCGCCCCTGTCAGCCTCTTACCCCACTACTATATATACTACTACAGCAACTCCAGCTGGTACACGTAGCCAGACAGTGAGAAGAGAGAGGAAGCAATTGCATGTCGTGCTCCTTCCCGTCATACATCCTTAGGTCCGTTTATCTGGCGGACTGACTCATGTACTTACTAGTAGTAGTAGTAGTAGGACAGAAAGAACAACCTCTACTATGACACGGGAGAGCGCAGGGGCAAGCACGCGACAACAGTCAGTCACCATCGCTGCGTTTGTCTTTCGAAAGAGCGACACCGGCTTTGTGTAAACGTCACCCTGATGACCTACCAGCAGCAGTACTGCTTATTGGTCGAAACGGACAAACGTGCAAGGCATGTTGGTGTAGCATGAAAGAGCGAAACGAGGCAGAAGTAAGGCAAAAGGACAAAGAAACGTGGCAAAAGCGGTTTCGAAGATGTGAGTTGTAAGGTATGTGGGCAAATGCTCCGCTCAATCCTCGTTGATGGCCTGGAATAGGTCGGTGCTGCTGATACCCTACGACTAGCCTTGCTTGCCCGTTTTCGCAGTCCTGTGAGGTGGTGGTGGTACGTTCCTAGGAGGATTTCTTTACAGGTATAAATCTGCCCATTCTGCTGGTTCGGCATTGGGTTTTCCCAGCTATTTTCGAAAAAGACTCTACTTCATTTTTTTTTAGACGATTCCTTCATCTTCTGTTTTGTACATGGGCAAATATATAGGGGGGAAAATTGCGAGATGCCAAATCAATGCCAAACACTGAACTACCTAGGAGTTAGATGTACAAGCGTACGCTGAACTTTGGCCAGACCGAAACGAACACACGTGATGAACCATTTGCAACAATGAATAAGGCAGCAGTAAGTACCCTAGAAAAAAAACGTGCTGCACTGCTTACTGCTAAGCCATGTACAGCAATATCCAGTCGGAGATTGTTAATTAAAGTATTTGGCTCTATATGTAATGCTCGCATAATTAAAGTAACTTATAATCCTTAACTTATGCATCTTTGAAAGGATAGTACTTTGCATCACAACGGCGAAGTATTGAGTTTTTTACCGCCTAGTCTAATAAAAATAAATAAATGAAACCAGTTTTAATATGCAAGCAGTAAGTACGTATTTCATGTTCAATTTAAGATAAACGTAATTCTACAGTGGGATTGTGTATGGGCGAGTAAAGCAGAAGATCATGCTAGGCAAATACGTTGAGTAATCTGGAGATCGCAAGCTGAACCTTAGGAATTAAAATTATAATCTACTGTATGCCTTGTATGGCAGATATCTCTACCCATCGTTCTCTCGTTTTCTTAAATTGAAGTTCCTCAACACCTATGTAGTGCGTACAAAGTTAGTGTTGGATCAGTATACGCTCATGTCACGGCCACCGCAAATATCCGTCTTTAGTTCGCTCTGAAGTGCGTCTCACAGAACGGACTATGGTGTTGCCTAATACGTCATTAAGATTACGTACAATATCCAGCGATCACCCAGCGCTAATTTCATGTCCCTGCGTATCTGAAGTATCTGGTAGGACGGAATTGTCCGTGTAACGGAATTGTCCGTGTAACATGTTAAGCGCCTTGACGGAAACCGGCCATTATCTACTTGGTTTTTGATCTCTACTATTGTTTTAGGGAACGTAGCGTTCTCTCTGGTTTGCAATAGATCTATGTGGACAGACGTCCGTAGGATTCAGTTTTGAACATGGCGTACATTGTCCGGTCAGCAAAACTTTTTTTCGTCCCCGTATACGCAGCACTTGTCAGGGTCGAACTTCGCTCGTTGGACTAATGAGCTTTGCTTTCCTTACATGCATTGAACACGTTAGCGGGATTATTAGTTGAATTAACTTAATAAGCAATTATGTAAATAAATTTAATTCAAACTGATAATCAACAAGCGGTAACATGTTCGATTTTCACGCGGAGGTAGTTGTTATATTATATATATATGAGATATTTGTTATGGTTCAGGAAAAACAATGTAAGTTACCTTGATGCCGATGTAGAAATTTCACTGATTTTGAAAGTCATTACGAGCAAGGTTCAGCAACTAATGAATAACTTCTTGCAACTAACGTTTACCAAAACTTCATGTACACCGATATGGCAATACGCTATGCTTGTTATGTCAAGGACATATGAAAATTCTCGATGATATTGTACTGTCAGCTTAAAACAGGATGGTAAACATCTATGCTCATCTAAAGCACATTAAGCATCCAATGCATTTTATTTTTATTGGCTTTGTTCTTGCACGCAAAAACCAAGCGCATACAACTCCGTGCTTCGCAGAATGTGAGTGGTGGCTATCACGGGTAATTTTGTATCTTTGGGAACCCACATCTACACCTACATAACATAAGGCAGATATGCCGTACATACGTCAGAGTGGTCTGCAACATCAATAAATATCTTTTGTTTAATTAGTGTTTAATGCTTTAGTTTTAGGCCACTATTGCATTACTTAACTGCTGGACTCTTCGAACACAATAAATTACACCTGCTAGCGGTTCTGAAGCTGAACCACCTCACCAGCTCCGAACTCTAATAAGCAAACGCTCAGCGAAGTAGCCCGGCCAGTAACGACAACTGGATATGTATGGAGGTATTCATGAACAACGCTTCTGTAATCACCTTTGAAAGCGTAGCTTCGTCTTGTAGCATAAATTGGGCTAACAAAACCGATGTCATTATTGCTACACTTACGCTAGTAATCCCGAAAAGATTATATCGAAAACGGGTCATACCGCCTTTCGCTATCGGCAAACAGTAATAGTGCTGCAAACCATCATCATTTTTCCATAGTTTTACTTCCAGAACTGGCCCAACGCGTTGCTTCAGACGATTTTTCTCCATCACGAAACGAAGCATATTCATTCCGGCCTCGAGCATTTTACATCCCGTACATGCGCCGATATTCATTACTGGAAGGGCTGTCGGACTTATCTGGGTTTTTTTCAACAGATCTATGAAACAGCATCCCCACAACACGCCATGGTAACCATTTACCAACGCAGAGATTTAAACAGCCATCGTCGTCTGTTTGTTGTTACCACGGCAAGGCAGTTGCAGAGATGCGCATTAGCCACTCAGACCGCACCGGTCCCTACATCGTGTAATTCTAGATCACTCGTGTCGCAAATTTTAATAGGTAAAAAAATTTACTGCAATAATATAACGGAAACAAGAAACTACATATCGCTAACCGCTACATCGTCGCTGGTCGACGAGCCAATCCACTGCTAAACTATGCGATTCCACTTAGTTGGTGGCGCAAGCAAAGATTGATGCTGAGATTTCTAAGCGAAAAATGAAATCTATGAACCCCCCTCTGTGTTTCGAGTATTAGGACTGGTATCGCCGTTAAGCCTTATGTCAGAATGTTCACCCTCACGAACCCCTTGTGTGCCAGGCGTAAACCACAATGTATTGCTAAGACTAGCAGCAAATACGTTACCACACAAGGCTATCACGGGGACTATGTATGGCCTCCTAAGATAAGCGAAGGACTCGCTGCTTTTTATTGCATTCGATCAAGTATACAGGTAAGTCGTGAAGCAATTAGTACAAATTGTTCTAGGAGCTTCATTTCTCTAGCTAGATAGTCACACTTCACGTAACGTGAATCGGGTTGGTGTTGTCTGAAAACTTAAATTTAGCAATAGCGGATGGGCTAAGGTTGTCGGAATGCTTTCATTCAGACTTAGGACAAAGCGCTGTTGAGACAGATAAAATTTCTCTAAAAATATGCCCTCTTTTACAGTTTTACTACAGTAAAAGTGCTATTCAGGCCCATAGAGTGTTCGTGTATGGCCTTATCGGAAGAAACGACCTAAAAGCAATTCGTTTCGAAAATTTCAATGGAAAAGATGCTACTCGTAGTGGTTAACCAATCAAGGAAAAAGCCTGCCGAAGCTGAACGAGAGAGGCTATGCCATGATGAATATTCAGAATCAAACAATTCTAAAACATTAAAAAAAAAACATTAAAAAAAAACATTAATCAAATACGACAAAAATATGTAACTGTAATCTGTGGCAAAGCCTAGGCTCACGCGAAACAAATGATGATAATATCTATTTGACCTGGAAATAGGACATAATTGCGTTGGTGCCGCTTTGTGGACAAAGCGATTGATTGTGATAATTGAGAAAAATCGACAAAAACTTGTAGATGGAAGAAGTGTTTCTTTCATCATGACAGCGTTATATCATACACATCTTTAGCTACCCAGGGAAAATGGGAAACATTTAAATGATGTATTCGCGGTGTTTTTGCACCGTTAGACTATTATTTATTTCGCTCTTTGCGGAGGCTTCCTAACAAATGATACCACTTGCCATAATTTTTCGTGTAGAAACGATAGGAATCCTACGTCAATGGAGATTATGATGTTATTAAGGATATATCAGAGGTTCATCAGTTAAAGCGGAGTATATTCAGGTAAGTAGTATAGTTTAAGGTATAAGCAATTATTCGTAACAATTTTGACGTAAAAACCGTCAATACTTTTCAAAAAAGTATATAATATATATTGGAGTACAATAAGGCAAATGATCTTCAATGACGGTTATCCATCACTCTCTGCGTCTGTTTGCCTATTTAAGGTCCGTTGCAACGACTGTAAACGGACCTCCTCGGTGCGTTTGACTATCTGTGAGCTCTGATTAGATAAGCTTTATTTAGGTCCCGTCAATGCTATATACTAGGGAGGAAATGATGGGTCAATGGCGGAAGGCAGAGTTTAACACGGGTCGTTTAGGTGCAGTTGCTCTATACGAAGAATTTTGTCTTAAAATTTAGGCACTGATGCATGATATATCATTGCATACATTCGAATCGTAGTGTATTTCCTCATGTTGCCTCCATTCTCACAGCCTTCGGCGCCTTTACGTTATCAAATTGTAAAAAAAGTCGATGCAATGCAAGCGTTGCCTCTGTTAGATGCGTGAATTTTGATTGAACGGAATTGAGTACTGCTGCTACTGCAGCTATTGAAACCTGCTTGGCGAAGCCTGAAAACAAATCATCATCAATGGATAGATGCAGCACCGAGTCGATGATGGCTCAATATCATTTCATAGTGTCTCGGACTCAAAGCCCGCTATCAAGCAACAGCAGCTTAGATCGTCATCTAGCGGTGGCAGGGGGAGTTTTTGAGGCTGCTGATTTCATGTCGCCCTATGAGCCCACCAACGACTAATACGATCACTATTATAACAAACACTTTCACTACCAAGTACCAGCATAAAATAACCGGTCTTGCTGATTCAACTAGAATGCCGTAGTTGCTTTTTTTCTGCCGACTTGGTTGAATTGAAATAGAAAAAGGGGTGGCTTGGTGGTAAGACACAGGAAAAATGACTGCTCGCAGAGAAACGTAGCAGCTTCGTAGTCGGTGCTGTAGCTGTATGCGGGCGCTGGCGAAAAACCAGGAGCCAATGGGCGGCCCACATGGAGGCATTTTTCCTATTCGTCTTTTGGCAAAAGGGTAGTAATAACAGCGCGGGAATAACAAGCTAATACATCCTCTTTTGCTACGTTATTGGAAAGCCACTGCCTGGATGGCTAAAAGAGAGTATCAGATAGATATGAAGTCGTCGAGACGATACGCTGTCTCGATCGCAGTCCTTCGTCTGTAACAAAGAAGTCGCAACGATGAAGATGAACTTCTCTGGCTTTTCCACTGTCTGTCTGGCCATCCAATGTTGGGGTGAGTGTTGGGTAGCAGAAAGACGGCCGCTGATATGGTGACGACGATACGTTGATGCACCAATATACATTTCAGTTATACCATTCTTCGTCTATTTTCACCCCTTTCCCTATACTCCCTCTTTTTTCGATGTCTTTGCATTTCTTTCTGTGCACTTAGACTCCCTTAATAACTTCAACATTCAACATGAAAATGTGTATGAGCGCGTACGTGAACTCATGTAGGTCTCTTTGGACGCTTTTAGTTCTTCCGTGCTATCCACCGTTGAGTACCGGATTACTGCACCGTTTTATTCCGATTGTTCAATTCTTTTGTGTTATGCAAAATGTCCAATGCCTTGATCACAAGAAGCTTTTCACGCGAGTGAAACGCTGACATTTATATTGATTCTATTTTAATTTACGCATACTTTTGGTTAGTCCTATTGAGCACATAGCGCGGCTTTTCTTATTTCCATGTTTTTATTGACTTTGAGGCATCGGAAAGAGCACCTGCCCCTAAAAAATCAAGTTGCTACTCTGTCGAGCTTGCTCGAACGACTGTATATCGGTCGATTTAAAGTCATGCACAGAAGGTTTGTTAGTCTATAAAGGTGTACTCAAGGAAAACGATAGCAATGCTTGCAAACGATTATTATTTGTGAATGAATGGTTCAACATTAAAACACGGAAGTATTTTTGGCAAGGCAAGGATCAATACAACGACTTGATTCGTGATTGGTCGCGCCGTATTTGATGCGGTATCATACAGGGTGTACTCATCTCATATTCAACCTTTTTATGAAGTTTAGGACACACAATGCAAAAACTGTCGAAACAGACAGCAGCTCGTTTAGTTCTGAAGATCCTAATTGAATGCCATACACGTCAAAGCATGTACGAAGTCCACGTAATAATACATTTCGCCCTTGAATTTGGATTTGCGTCCACCCATGAGATTCGAAAAATGCGTAGAACGTAACTGTGACGTCACACGGATTAGCACCGCACAATTTGTGTAAAGGAAAAAAACTGATCCGTGACGGGAGGATCAGAAACCACTTCGCACTAGGGTTTTACAACCTTTGTAGTAAGGGTTACATAGAATCCTAGAGACTGCCCATTGTGACATTAATATTGCACTATCCTAAACAGCTTTTTTTCAATCTGCTCGCCTCTTGTCCGACAAAGCAAGATTCTAGTTATCGCTTCAGCGCAACAGGAGTAAACAACGTTAGCAACTCTAACTACGTAAGTATGACCCGTCTGAATTTGAAAATTACCGAGGTTCAAATTATAAACATTACTTCGTTGTTGGGTGTTATGCTTAGTCATATTTTGACGAAGCACGGAAGTTTTTTAATATCAGACGCTTCCCATTGCACCTATGTAACCTATGTTTGTAGTTTGAGATAAAAAAACATAGACAACCTAAGATAACGCTACCAAACTAAAGAGTGATGATTCTGCCTCCTTTATTATAGGCGGCCTTGAGCTGGTCCCAGTTGATCTTGTAAAGCACTTATTTTTCAGCAAAAGAAACCTTGTGAAACTTGTTGTTTCATAAGAAATCTCAAAATTAACCTAATGTAAGCTTTTCTTGTAAAATATGTATCGGAGCATTTTGCAGATATTAATACAAAATGAGTAGTATAACATCTACTAAATGTATCGATAGCTATACAAAGCGAGGTTTGGCTTGATCCGTTGAGATCGGGACCTGACAAGCTGTGCCACCTAGTGCCTGGAAAGTTAAACTGATTTATCTTGAGAGGCCGGTCTGCCATCCTAAAAGGAAGGTATCACGTACTATCCTTCTGCAGACGGCTTAGGTTTCGGCGCTCGCATTTGTATAATTTATCAGAGTCCTCTAGGCAGTTTGCCCATTGAAAACCTGATATTTGGTTGAAGGGAGAGTGTAAGCTCTAGCGTAAGAATCATCTGTGGCTACCACTAAATCTGTTCTGGAAAAGATGGTGATAAAAAAAAGTTAACAAGCGTCCGTGGTACTAACCTACTGGTTTGACAAGGCGATACCGAATGAACCCCTTCATTTTGCGTGCCGTATCGCGCAGACTGATCAGCGCAAAACTCTGCCCTAGACATACAGAAGAATTGCCATTTCTGTGCCTAAAGAACGTAGTTGCGAGAATTTGCTGACATGAACATGAAAAAAAAACAAAACTTTCTCGGTTTTTGAAACAAATGCTTTGAAGTACACGGTAGCAAATTTTCGGGTTATGGTTAAGGCACGTTGCGGAACGGCAGGTCATTCCGGAACTAAGATGTGTGATACTCTAGGCCATTAGCAATATGAACCATAGGCCCTGGGATGAAAGCATACATACAGAGTGGATGCAATGACATGTAATTTTTTATATGCTTTTTGCATGCTTTTTTATAGACGCTGGAACAAGTGGCGCAAGTGTGCCCTCTTTCATCAGCCAACAACAAAGCCTATGCCGTTCCAACACTCTCCTAGTTTCCAACGAAAATATCTGTACACCAACAATCAGAACGCCTTCACTTATGCTGCTAGCTCGTCAGAACCATTCGATTCGTCATGGATTGCTCTGATCATGCCGTAAATATATGATCTTCTAATAATATTCGTCCTTGCTTTCGTACCTGCTATCCGTTTTATTTTTAAGCGAGTCGGGAAGTCTATTATTACTAAATGCCATCCGGAAGTTCTTTTCACTAAAAGCTTTCTCAAGTAGAAAGATGAGTATTACAACGGACGCTATTCTTTTTTTAATCGTTAATCAGATTCTTCTGCCTGTCTGCTTTGTATTTCGAATTCGAGTTAATAGGCAGTTATCAAGTTAAAAGAAAAGGATTTTATTGAAACTTGTACTGTTCATTTAGAAAGTGCACGGGCGTACAACCAAGCTCTTTTTTTTCGCTCTCTGTACCGTCTGTTACCGAAAATATCAGGGGTGCGTTCGACGTGTTTTCCGTGTCTAATAAGTAATAGGTCTGAAAAGTTTATAAAGAACAAACAATTGAATCGTTAGAACTCTTTTGCAATAATGTAAGAATGTTCGATAGAGGTATAACGTCCGAAGTTTTCGCATTGTGCAGTCTACGAGAAAATGCCCACTTACGCACATATCAATCATTACGATGCTTTCAATATAGTCATGATCCTATTTCCGTGCAATAAGTACATTTAACTACCTGGGTCTAACCAGGTTTGAAGTTCATACTAATTAAAAAAAAATATTTAAATAGCCCGTTATTCCAGTGGCATATTCTTGTTCTAATTATCGTAGAACAAAGAACGCTGCCACGAAAATAACTAAAACCTTGACTATGATAAAATATAAGACATCGGCAGCCAGGTAACGTGTAAGTATGTCTATCTATATATAACTATATACATATTTTATATATGTAAAAATATAAAAATATATATATATATATATATATATAATATGTATATATATATGTATATAATAGACTATGTAACGCCTATACGTCTTAAACTCTCTCGGTCTTATATAATTTCATTTTTTCTTCATTTTATGATTTACTGATAAAGACTGTTTTTATATCTTTCTTGTAGGAAGTCACTTTTGGCGGCGCCTTTTGGGTAAGGTACACTTTTGTCCTTGGCATTTGCTGATCCTAGGATGTTGACTCGATGTAGCCTTACAATACGATGCAACCATGGACCCACGCCAGCGCGTCACTAATGCACTGTCGAGCGACGAATAGGAGATCCCGAACGAAGCGTCGCAGTCGCACGTGTATTAGCAAAGATCCCGTTGGGAACAATATATCAAATGGTATGCGGTTTGGTGCCTTGCCCCCTTCTGCTCTCAATTGCCTCCTCGTCACTGTTGTTTTTCTTTGCCTCGCAGCAGCATTGCCCCAAGACAAGATTCTGAAAGCTACTAAGACAAGCAGGGCGGCGTGTGGTAGCTAGTGATATAAACAATCCGGATCATTTTCGATACGAGTTGTAGGTCTCTAGCAATAAAGTAAAGTAATATGAAACGTGTTATATAGTCCTTTTTCAAACATTTAGTTATATCTCGAAGTTCCATGCAAAGGAATCGGTGGCAAAAAAATGATAATCCCTCAGCGTAATTCAGCTTGATGTAATAGGTACCATGATCGAAGTTCTCCGTGTTTTATAATGGCTCAGTCCTCCCAGCAATGAACACGTCGTCTGCGTCTGCAATAATAGTAAATACTTTCCTCTTTTCTCATCAGGTATAATGAAAATTTGCCAGCCGCTTGTATCGTCAAAGTTTAAAATGACGTACTCATATGGTTCATGAGATACAATCAAAGGCAGATATCATATATTGGATTCTTATAGCGCATAAACAAACATATTGACAACAGAAGAACTTGTTGTTCAATTTGGATTCCACCGGGTGAATAAAAATGCGGTTGAGAACAACGTTTTCTACTGTGCTATTAATGTATTTGTTATTTATATTATATTATAAAGCTTGTCTTATAAGATACGAAAACAGCTCATGGAAAAACAATCAGGTTTAGGCCGCTTGCAACATAGTTTGTATAATCGTACGGAAAGAAACATCTCTCATTACTAGTTATGTACATACCTTTCTCGTACAAGTTCGTGCGCGTCTCGTAGCGTACGAGAAACGTGGCGCTGCCGTCTCGAATCAAGTGGCAGCACCGTTCCATGCAAACATTTCTGGGGAACCCTGCCACATCGATGCCGACTTTATTTATTTCCCTAAACTGCAGGTCAACAAATGGTGCTTTGTTGAGAAATGCATAAGCTAACTGTCATGGCTATGCCGTGTTATTGCTTGAAAATATTATCTATACATTGGCAGTTTACACCTGTGTAAAGTTGTGTTTGTCATATTCTGTGATTTGGTCGCACGAAATTACGTACAAACAATTTTACGGCTACTTAGCCATTCGAATTAACGTTGAAACAATGCCATTGTTATATATATGCATGTACCTGGATAAATTATAAACTCAAGTACGTGTTTCGTTATCGCCTTACTCGCTTCTTTATGATCGATGGGATATGCTCGCGTTGTCTTCCGTTGAAAGGGTGGACCACTAGATGCTGTAAAAACACAGGCCATACAGTGATACTGCGCAGTCATAAGTGACGTCTGCGTGCTACTCCCGTAGTTGTACAATTTTCACTAATTACACTAAAGAGTATTGCACGCAAAGCCAATTCGTTTCGAGTTTTTGCCTGATTATCTCCGATGTTTGGATGAAATGGAATATATATTATCTTGAGATCGTTTCTAGACCGACGATGTCCAGTATAGTGAAATCCTAACTTGCTATATCTCGAATCACTGAACGAAGCTGATAATAAAGTCTCTTCTTCTCCAAATAGCTGCATTGTTATGAGGTGGATGAATTTGACTTTCAGACAAAATGCAGTATAAATATCAATAATAATTTGTCCTTTTTAATAGATTAGAGAATATTAAACAGAAATAGACTGATGGAACTAAGTACTCGATTTCTCTGTATGCAGGTTTATAGTTTTTCATTATACTCAACAAATACATGCTGCTGCTACAGGCTTTGTGAAGCAAGAACCCTATCGGCTTAAGCGATTTTACTGAGATGTTGCGTGTCTTTATTACGGGTTTTGACTGATCACAGGTGAAGCATTGCGAATGTCTATAAAAAAACATCTTTGCTGACCCCCCATGAAATGGCCCCGTAAATGGAGCGTTGCCTCGAAGCACTGCGGGGAATAAGTGCCCAGGCATATTCAAAGTTGCCTTGCGTCAATAAGATTTCCGACTTACACAGTAGCTTTACACCTGTTTTGATGCAGCGTATAAGTAGCATTATATATATATTGATACATAATGTTTAACGGTTGTGGTTGGTGAAGTCAAGGAGGATCTGTTTAACTTAGGGCTCCTTCTCTAGATTACATAACGGTCGTAAGATATGCTAAGTAAAGTTAGTTTTTTTTTAAATTTCAAAGGACAGTCGAGGAAATCCGTATCTCTAACATTCACCAAGGGCAGCTTAAAGAACTTTAAGCGAGAACACAGTGAAGAGAACGAAAGGGAAAGTGATCTTCCTTTCACTAGAAAGAAACCCACAAAGTTCTTAGCAATTGGCTTTAGCGGTAGCTGTCGACTAGACTCAAAGATGCCCGATTAATTAGTTACCGAATCTACTTCTAATTTACATCGTTGACGTTCGGGAACAATCTGATAAATTGTTGTCAGATATTTATTTCGCGTGATGTGGGTCTGATCTTTATGGGCTGCTACACCATATAGACGATATATTGCTTCGACGTTTTTAACGATGTTGACTTCGTCTATTCTACGACAAGTAGCGTCAATAGTGGTAGCTATTCAGGTCTAGCAAGAATTATGATTCGATAGATGTTTATTCTTTCTAGTGACATTACAAAGGCTATCTGGGTTGGGTTTGGCAGCTCGGTCCAAACATTAAATTCTATATAGAGAACGCACGAAAGCTTCACCTTAGAGACCGCTCGAGAGACATCGATGAGGCTACCGTACCAATTTACACGAACGCTTAATCTTAAATTAGCTACCGACAGCTGGCATCTCGAGAGTACAGCGACTCCAGGCGCGTTTGGACCGTTTGACCCAGTGAATTTGCAGAAGATTTGTCGGTACGTTTTTTTCTTCGCATGCTGTGAACAGTTAAGACACGTACTAGCTCTGTTTGTTCAATGTCGAAAAAGAGCGGTGTCGTACGATCTGACTCGCAAAGCCACTTTTTGATTACATAAAGAAAAAATTGGAGCGAACAAAAACATATTTTAGATGCCGACCTAGGCCATTACGTTGTTTACGGAGCAAGTACTTTTTTTTTTTTTAGTTGCCAAGCCAGCGCGCGCTAGCTCTACATAATCGTCGCGTCGCAAAATTGTTTCATATTATTATTATTAAAATACAGGCAGTAGGTTAGCACTTTCTGTAACGATTTACCTATGCCTAGTTCGTAGGTATCGTATCATTTAATTAGGTGTACGGCATTACTGGTATAACGTTGACCTAATTAGAGTGCGTCGGCGCTTGGGAGTAAGGCGTGACATTTGGATCGGCGCTTTACGATAGAGAGGTACATTTAGTATAAATTAAAACGAAATCGGTAATAAATAATTCGCTACGCTTTTGAGAGGGCATAAACGTCTCGTATTTGTCCGGAAATAGCCTAATTTTAGTGCCTACTAAGGCGACAGTGGCGATCGCGGTTGCCTTGGAAACAAATGGTGACGGTTCGCGCTGCCCTCCCTGTAGCTATAACTTATTAGGCCAAGCAACCTTACGACCTTTTGTGAATTGTTAGTGTGTATGATTTTTTACCCTGTTTGCGTTTTGGTGATATGTGAAGCTACGACAGCAAGTACCTAATCGTCATTATTACGAGGGGGCTAGAACATCGAACAATAGCAATCGAGTTACAATTACAATTTTCACTTGATTATTTTTTCACCGAAGAAAAGGTAGTAGCATTTCAGAGAAAAAAAAAAAAGTATTCTGTGAATGCCTGCCTTCATTCGTCCGCATCATGAGACCCTCACTATTTTCAGCTCGTACAAGTGCAGGAGTAGAGCAAATAGATCGTTTGATGTTAAAGAAACTACGTTGTTAGGCGTAGATATAATTAGCACGGAATATCACTCCTCCCAATGCAATCTAAAATCATCTGATTTAGAGTTATATAGCAATTATCCAGGAAGTCGTTTCTATATGCAAGGCGTGTAACGGTATATGCCCATAACCTACAACATAAAACAAAGACAATTTATTAAAACTTTCACTATCAAAAAATAGTTTTTAAAAAACGTAATAACCGATATTGTTTCGTCGTCAAGTCATATGCTAGTGATGTAGCCTGCAATGTATCCAGATCTATATTGGAAGTAGTTTCGGTTAGAATATATTTTGGATTGTATTGCTAAAAAGCTTCGAAGTAGGCTCAATCGATGAGTACTTTTGGGCCAAGCTGACGTGTGCGATAGTGAAAACGTCAATTAGATTCTTTTTGCAGGCTTATAAAAAGCTCCATTTAGCGTGACGTCAAGTGATCAAACAGATCATTCACAGTACCGAGTACTGTGTTTCACGTTTGTTGTAAGTAAAACCATTGTGTTCAAGCTCTAGTTTACTACCGCAATGCAGAAACTAGCGGCGTTTTGCGAACGAAATGCGTTTTAATAAACATTCTACCGGTCACAGATCTAAGTGTTTAGCGTCATTTCATAAAGCTCGTTTCATTTGAGCTAACAGGACTGCCAGGACTAACAGAAAATGAGGTCAAACTTTTAACTTAGCGAATTCTAGGCCGACAATACCTATTACAAGTATTTAGAGACAATTTAGACAAGACAATTTAGTATTCTTGGTGCGGCACATCGGGTGTCTGCTAATGCTGTTTAAGCTGGTTCTCAAGGGCTATTCATTCAATACTGCGTGCTACGCGTACACCGGCAACGCTCAGCATGAAAACAAATCAATCCTCGATTCAACGTATTCACAAATTTATAGAGGATATAAAAATACAGAGGTTGACCTTTGGGTTTCTTTCGCTTCGTACCGAGAACCGCCCGGCCGTCTGTCTGATGGAGTGCCCAGTGGTAATAGCAGGCATAAAGTCGTAACCATCGTTGACAACTTCTTAAAGCTGGAGCACAGTAAACAGGTTTATTATTAATAATAATATTAGGAACACTGTTATTTGTTCGTATATATACGTATATAGGTAATATTCAACAAGTGACTTATTTCCTTAGAGGACAGTTAGTGAACGCGATACATGTGGATAACGAATTTGCTGTCATCGTTATTTGGCTTAAGATTACTTTTGTCGGGTCTATAAAAAACGATACCAAAGGTAATGCCAGCGTTCCCAGATACATCTCCACATGTGCACGTATGCTTTGATTGGTTAGGTAGGATTAGTATTAGGCCCTCACGGTAAAAATATAGGAAGCGCAGTATGACGTGTGCATGCTTCGCGCGTCGA